ACATTCAAAAGATGCCGATTGCATTTTCTCCCACTGCTTTTCGCTGTAATATCTTCAACTTACTTAAGCAGTTACTTTACAAAGATGCTTTTGACGACTTTAAGTGATCAGTTGGTCTTTTTAAGTCCTTTTTACGGCTTTTTAAGTCTTTTTGTAAGACTTTTGACGGTAAAATCGTTCTTCAGAAATTTTTTTTTGAGCCGTGGCTCTTTTTTTTCGCAAGAAGCGGTGAGCTCAACACTCAGATGGATTCCTTACTATAATTGGCTAGAAAATGACATGTCTCTCTTGTGATTGGTTCATATCAGTTGATGTGCAAAATCGTGCAATTTAGAGCTCAAAATCGTGCAATTTATGCTGAAATCACTGCTGCAGGGAACCAATCAGATTGCAGGATTTGCTTGTGATTTCAAATGGATGTAATAAAATCTCTAAACTACAGGTTTGTAGCCCATGAAGTCACGTGCAACACAAGAGAAAAGCATTGTGGGACATCTTGATTTTTTAGTAACTGAAGTCTCACGGCATTGCACACAACAGATAAACTCGCCAGAAAATTTGAACTCTTGGAATTTAAGAAAACGTTATGAGCTGATTAGGATTAATCGGGGGCGGGACTGGCCGGAGAACGCAAGAGAAGGGTAGGAAAACATGAAATGAAGAATGAAATGAAAATGCTGTGAGTATTTGAGATATATTCTCATATAAAATGGCATTCACTGAACGCGCGCTAGAACTTAAAATCCGTCAAGAGGGATGATATATAATTTGAATTTAGATTGGTCGTCCATAGATTGATTACACCCTGCTTCTATATATGAAAAATAAGTCAATGCTCTCTTTTTAATAAAAGGAAAAACCAATATTTGTGAAGGCAGATGAAAATCTCTGTAATATTAAACTCTCATAATGAAATGGGATTTCATTAAAACTTAATAAAGAATAACAATGATTTTTAGACGGATCAAAAACAAAACACTTCAAAAAGACGTTATTAAAATAATATTAAAACCAGCTGTGTATTTTTGGAATGGGAACAATCCTACAGGCAACAGAACCTGACTACATAAGAAGATGTCCACTTCAAGTCCGATCAATAGCTGCACTGGTTGAAGTGATCACATATCAGTTCAAGATCAAACCCGAAGTCATGCCAACTGCTTTAAAGGAAATCATTTTTTCTGTCGTGCTCTCTGCTGTTCTCGTCTTTAACATAGCAGGAAACTCCCTCGTTATCTACATCATCAGGAATGAACGAGGAATGAAAACCTCCACAAACTATCTGCTGTTAAACTTGGCTGTTGCAGATCTTTTATTTGGTGTTTTTCTTGCTCCTGAGCATATAGTTCTGCCTTTGTTGGGTAGACCATCCTTGCCTGATGGAGTTCTTGGTGACTGGCTGTGTAAGCTAATTGGATTTGGTAACATCGGTTGGGTGGCGTCCAGAGCTTCTATTTTCACCATGGTTTGTTTATCAGTTGAACGATACTTTGCTGTTTGTCGTCCTCACACCTTCCGTCAGCGCTTCTCGCCGAAGATCGTCAAAGGGCTCATTGTGGTGTCCTGGATATATGCTGTTGTTATGCTATCTCCCTTACTTGTTGATGCTCATTTTAGCAGAAAATATTTTGGTTGCTCCCTTAATGATTCGATTTTCAAAGGTTATATGTTGTATTCTTTGGTAGAAACAACTTGTGTCTTGTCTCTGATGGTATTTTCTACTGTGAAAATATTCATTTCCCTCTGGTGCAAGCAGACAGTCGAACCTACAGGAGAACGAGAGATCACCGAGAGAAAGAAGAAAAAGAAAATCACATTGTGTGTTCTTGCTGTAGTTGCCACATTCGTGGTGTGCTGGAGCCCTGCTGCAATAAACTTTGTTTTAGCACTTGGGTCATCAATACAAATGGAATTAGCTAAAGCATCAGTTCTGGCGGCGTCTATCAATGCTGCTCTTGACCCGTATCTGTTTAGCTTCCAAAGTTCAAGATTTAAGGTTTTGGTCAAGAAGGCTCTTTGCTGTAGGAAAGAGTCTTCCGGGTAATTAATGAATGGAAAAAGTAATTGTAAGGTTAAGGTTAACAAATGAGACATACTGCTAGGCGGATTGTACTATGCTTGAAATAGAGAATAAGAGAAAAATATCAAATGCCCTTGGCGGGAATCGATTGACGAATCGACCGCGATGTGATCTAATCAATCCTGGTCCGAAGTCAGATGCCTTGTCCATTAGTCCATGCACAGGCAGCCCAGACGATTTCTTCCACCATAAATCCACTTCTGACTCT